CTTAAACAGACTTGTATCGTTATTCGGTACGAACAGAATGTTGCATGCTATCGGAGTCTTCACCAAAAATAACTATATCACTTGCATATTCTAAGTCGATAAATGAGTCACTTGTTGATGAATCAATCTCTGGAAAGCCAAAGAATAAACGCTTCCTTTCCGAAAGAATATCTGTAATAAAATCAAATTGAAACGGAGAAAGTACACAATCCTGAAGAAAACCACTTGATTTTATAAATTTTGATGACAGTTGTTCGTACGCTCTGACTCAATCAACAGTGTTCAAGTAGAGAGCACTTGACGAAAGCCTACTAAGATCTATTTTTTCTTCATCAACCATTTCAAACCTAAATGATTATTATAAATGGTTACTAGTGTAAATTTAACATAGTATCTAATGTAAAGACAATAATAATATTACACACACTTATCACTTTACATGAGGTTATTATCCCGAACAGAAATTGTACCAGATAAGCTAAAACCCTGCATGTGATACATTATCGTAGTTATGACCTGATTATTTAAATTACCTGTATATAGAAATGAACTAAACTTCACCACAAATAGTCTACAAATGTCGATTATTAACATGTAGTAAGAATTCATTTTTACAGTGAATGAACATACAAAATCGTATGAATCAATCCCTGAAGATTAATTCCAATGATTGAAAAAAGGGCGTATTATATGGGTGATCAATTTATTGAACCATTAGTATTATCATAAAAAAATTAAATGGGTTGGGTTTGCATGTACAATATACCACGTCATTTGATTCTAAAACAAAATAATTACCAATATATTTGATTGTTGAGAAGGATAATACTTATTTTGTATAAGGCGGTTGTAATGATATCAAATCACTAAATTATAATCTTAATACCAACAATAATATCAATGGTAACAGTTCTTAAAAAGCAGCAAATTCTTCCCAGACTTTCTGAAACGATAATCTTCTGACTTTTTCATTGCGACTTCTAAATTGTAATAAAATAATGGAAATTGATGGCGGTCATTTTGTTTTTAGAACAACTGACTATATATATATATATATATATATATAGTCAGAACATTTTATAACATAGTCTTCTGTATACTTTGTGTAATAATGGAGTAAAGGTTCGGATGCATTTCTCTCGCTCTTAGACTGCGAATTAGTACTTCAAGAATATTATGAGTGAATCCCCGATTAGACTACAAATGTGTACTTATTTCGGCTCGTTGACCAGTCATGCATGAAGCTTTATATTTGGAGATATGCAAAAAACTCCCATAACTTTCCTCAAATAGTACAACCTTCGAGACGGATGAAATGTCATCTACATGCAAAAAACTACATAATATATTATTTTGCTAAGTATTACGTCTTTTAAGCGTATCCTTTATATTAAAAGATTAGTATTTGAACGAAGAATATTCTTTTCGATAAATTCTCTTCAGGTTCTACAATTATATATCCAAGTTAATAATCTGAAAAATGGCCAAGGTAAAGGCAAAGTACATCGTTTAGAGCATGTGAATTTAGGATTGTAATAAACAAAATACAATAAAATTGTTAATGTTAATACGACTGATATAGAATGTTCACTTGAATCAGCTTATATGTTAAGTAAAATTTTAAGATCCATGATCAGAATAAATATGGGTCAAAAAAGGTGAGAGAGAAATAATAGTGCAATTACAATTCGATCAAATAAGTAAGACGTAATACGGAGGGATGAGTGCGAAGTGAATGAATTATGTATAGGGGAGATTAATGATGATGTTTAACCAATAATAATAATAATAATAATAATAATAATAATAATAATAATAATAATAATAATAATAATAATAATAATAATACAAGGATTTATGAATAAAGATAACAGGAACAATTTCAATTGACTACGAAAGGTCATAGTCAAATTAGGTCATTCAATAGTTAAGATTACGATTGATTAATTAGCCTTGATGTTGGCCAGGGAGCGAGTTATATTGGTCGAAGTTCTAGGAATTTACATTTTCGTGCTCGTGAACACCTTCCAGCGTGGCTAAACAAAGGTTTGATGAAGAAGGTGAACAGCTCAATATTGGCCCATTTAGTACAAACCGGTCATAGTGCCAATATAAACCAATCTTTTTCAGTTACTTATAAAGTAAGTAATTTTTTGCCAAAACTGGTCAGACTGAAAGTCCTTCAAACGGCTGAAGCAGTAGCCATCCGGATGAAGAAACCAGAGCTATGCGTACAGAAGAAATATATTCAACCACTCCTCCTTCCCTGGCCAACACCAGGGCCAATTAATCAATCGTAATCTTAACTATTGAATGACCTAATTTGACTATGACCTTTCGTAGTCAATTGCAATTGTTCCTGTTATCTTTATTCATAAATCTTTGTATTATTATTATTGTTATTATTCGTATTATTGATTAAACATCATCATTAATCTCCCCTATACATAATTCATTCACTTCGCACTCATCCCTCCGTATTACGTCTTACTTATTTGATCGAATTGTAATTGCACTATTATTTCTCTCTCACCTTTTTTGACCCATATTTATTCTGATCATGGATCTTAAAATTTTACTTAACATATAAGCTGATTCAAGTGAACATTCTATATCAGTCGTATTAACATTAACAATTTTCACAAGTTGAAATCATGAGCCAATTGAAGCTAGACCACCATGGAAAACCTGGAAGCACTGGACGGCCGTTTCGTCCTAGTATGGGACTACTCAGCAGTGCTCATCCATTGGATGCCGGCTCAGTGGTCTAATGGTTAAGTGCTCGCGCGCGAAGCCAGTAGGTCCTGGGTTCGAATCCCGCGAGGGGCGGGTTCGTGGATGCGCACTGCTGAGGAGTCCCATACTAAAACGAAACGGCCCTCCAATGCTTCCAGGTTTTCCATGGTGGTCTAGCTTCAATTGGCTCATGATTTCAACTTGTGAAATTTCCAAAACATCTCCACAAAACCCATTCTGATAATTAACAATTTTATTGCATTTTGTTTATTACAATCCTAAATTCACATGCTCTAAACGATGTACTTTGCCTTTACCTTGGCCATTTTTCGGATTACTAATTTGGATATATAATTGTAGAACCTGAAGAGAATTTATCGAAAAGAATATTCTTCGTTCAAATACTAGTCTTTTAATATGACGGGGATCTTTAAACGGTATCCTTTATAGTTCGAATAGATGTTTTGATTATTTGCAATGATTTATAGATTCCTTTGAAGCATTTCTTTTTAATGACGTTACAATCAAGTAGGTGGTGGTGTGACCAGACTTTTTTATTTAGGTTAAGATGGTTAAGAGATTATTGTGACTGGACATCGTCAATCGAGATGTAACTTCGAAATCTGCCTCACCGATTTCGATTAGGGCCGAGTAAGTATGTTAAATGGAGATGATCGGACAGAAGTTTTAACATAATCACTGCTTTGTTGGATAATAAAATGATAGTTGAAAAACATCCATCAATAGATAAAGTGATTGAGCGTAAAACTACAACTTGCGAGCAGATTCTCATTATCTGTATCTAATCCACAAAGATAATAGTATCTTATAGCCGTAAATGTTGAATGCCGTCACCCAAAATTAGTCGTTACATAGAACCAGGAAACCCTGAACCTAAGTTTCGTGCTATTTGGCACTCGTCAGCAAGGCCGCGACTGACCTCCTGTAGATCCGGAAAGCTCAGTGGTAACGTGACACGGGATCGAACCCGTCGGGGAACATCAGTTCCCTTAAGATTGTAGGTACACTTTGCAGAAACCTAGATCCAGGGTTTCCTGTCGACTACCTCCAACCGCCATCTTATCTCAACATAGTGCACGCAATGTCGAGTTACCGAGACTTGTAGCCAAATTGTAACTTGGTCGTTAGGATCCGATCTGCACTAAGAAGGACCTTACATACACGACATTGATCATCGCCAAGTGATTAATCAATTGCAAAAAATCTCATGACGTTTGAAATTACTGTTACTTCATGGTTTTCATACTTTGATTTCATAGATTCTTCTGAAAGTTATTTCTAAATGGTAAACTTTCACCATGATTTCTACTGCTACTACCATTTCTACTGCTTCGCTTTTCATCATGTCAATTTCTTTTAAATGTATGAATGTGCAGTGTATGACCTGAACCAATACATATCTCTCCCAGGTCCTAGACTACTTATTATTTGACTTTTCATTTCTTTGATGTTTCTTTAGTGCTTCAAGATACTTTCTGTTTGATATCTTTAAAATGATATTCTTTATTTATATTCAATTGCCGTTTTACTGTTTAAATATTTTAAATGGAAAAATGTTGACTTCAAGTTTATTCACAAACTTGATTACAATATTTCTGCTTCCATTTCATTATTATCAATTAAGAAAAATTGGAAACTAACCCTTGAATTTTCTTCACATTAAATTACATCAAAATTTATCACTGTAATTCAACTACTAAATTACTATAATATCCACAAAACCACTCTCTGATTACAATCATCATATGTTCACTAGTGACGGTCTTCAAGAATTATTTCCTGGAGTTCTAGTGATAAGCCGTGACCAAGGGAGTACAACCAGGTCTGTTGTGAGATAATAACTCACTGAAGACAGTGGTGGATGGTGGCGCGATTTCGTGGATTGGTTGAGGTTAGACATTAACACAGTTGGATGCCGGCCAGCTCAGTGGTCTAGAGGTTGAGCGTTCGCGAGATCGATAAGTCTTGAGTTCGAATCTCATGAGGCAGGATCGTGGATGCACGCTGCTGAGGAGTCCCATACTAGGATGAAACGGCCGTCCAGTGTTTCCAGGTTCTGCATATTGGTCTAGCTTCAAATAACTCGTGAATTCAACTATTAAATTATTACTATTTTTATCCACGGAATCCCTCGCTGATTATAATGCATTTTATGTTTAAAAAATATTATTACATTAAGTTTACTGATAAAAATGATTATATTGTTCATCTTATAAGCTTTTTGATTGTTATGTTCATTTTACCTTTTGATTAATAATTTATTTGAATAACTTTGAAGTGGTTCAGAAGACATCTCATTATAGTTCTCTTCATTATTCAATTCCAACGAATCAGTTCTAATTTCAAGTGGTTTAAATCTTTAGAATGAAAATACAATAGAAATAAAGCAATTAGGTAACCATTCTTGAAATTAGAATTGAGTTAAACATTAAGCTATCCAATGAAATAACTAATTATTTATGATGAATGCCATTGAAAAGTGTATGGGTGAATACTTTAAATAAATCTTAAACTGATTCGGCTTTAAATAAGTACGTATAACAGCCGAATTTTAATTCGCATGAAACGCATATCTTACTTCCGTTAGTGTATTATTTTTGTATTAAATAGCTTGTGTGATTTTGCTAATAATAATAATAATTAAATAATTTGCTGACCATTTGTTCCGTACTATATGTTCATTGTGGGCTTTCCGTAGATACTTTGGTTTTGTAAACATTCATTCCAATCCAGATGTAATCTATCCTAAATTAGTAATAATAAAGGTTGCTTTAAAACGTAAAAATGTTAGTCTTATGTATCATAGCTAGGATATCACTCCTATTGAAAGGAAATTCCTTACATTTAACATTAGCAGGATAATCATTGTATTTTTGCTATAATGATTAGTTTAACCAACAATAACGCTGCACCTTACATTGGAATTATTGGTAAGGATTATAGGCGTAGCTGTATAGTGGCTAGTAGTGCAATCCACGATGCAAGTTTTGCCCTATTTGGAACTCACCAGCCGAACATACCTCCATACCAGAGTTGACGTCTACTTCGGGACTCGAACCCATTTCCGTTCGCTTCAAACGCCATCGCCACTGAGTCCATATAGCCACTGGCTTATGAGACGGGGTAAACAACCCATACAAATGAATTTTTAGTGCTTTAATTTCGTCTTGTCGATATTTAGGACTGAATTCCTATCGTTCTTTACTGTTATATGGAAATCTTGGGTGGAATAATAAATTATAAGAACTTTCGTAGCACGTTTTTTACAATGGATAGATTGTGGTTGGAAAGTTAGTTCGGAACGTATGTTTAGTCTTATTTGAGAGCATTTACATTCATGTAGATGTTCATTATGGAACTCGGGCCCAGTAACCTTAGTTTCACACAATAATGTGTTATTCACTGAGCATCTAATTCCAGACAATCACTTTCGATTTTAGCTGGTGTGAAATTTGTTATTATTTGTGAGGGTTTTCAATAATCCCGTTATTCCTTGACACAATCCATCTATTGTAAGAAATACTAAAATTTCATGAAGACTGCTGTAATCAGTCAAACTAAAGTCATAAACATAAAGCAACAGATTATCGTCATATATAAGAAGTTTTAAAAAATATAGTCGTGACGTTTTCACATATATTAATTTTTTTAAATGGTTCACTCACGACATAAACTGTGTACGCATATACAATGAAGTTCTTTAAATCAAATACAAACCTACTACAAAGTTATTGATACTGATATCAACTGAAAACCATTTGAAATGCTATGGCAGCTCTTAATCTCTATCCTTACATAACAGGTTTTACTACTGGAAAAACTGGGATATTCAACTCAGCATTTACAGCAAATAATATCAAAAAGTAAATGTCTCGTATCAGCCACAGTTTATTAAATAAACCCCATCTAATTTTTAACAATTTAACTATGTGAATACTGGGGATGTCAAAAAATCTACTTTGTGATAAATTTTATTTAATAAAGAATACAGAAAATCAATTATAACTTCCAATAATAAATACAATTTTTGTAATATCCCAATCAGTAGAAAAATTGTATTTTTGACGTTTCGTGACTTAATATATGCCGCCTCTTCAAAGTAAACAATTAGCCGAATTAAATTAAGACAAGTTTAAATAGTAAAAATACTATATATATATATATATATATATATATATATATATAAACTCTTTAAACAATGCTCAGTTTATTTCAAACCATCAAGTTCAACCTTGGCATTGATACCTATAATTATATCTTCTGTTTTGTAACAGTTAGAGTCAAATGCGAGACGAACCAATCAAATATAAGATAACGAGTCACGAATTTTGGCGCGAAATTTATCCATACCTTTGGCTAAATAGAGTTTTGGCAGTAGAGCTGATGTTATTTCGTGATGAAAACTCAAAATGTAAATTTTAACCCTAACCATTAACTGTAAATGAGAATTCTAACTGCTTTATAACTCGCATTTTGTCCTAATTGGCAGGTGTCCACTTTCACGGTCACTTCAGCGTCGCTCAAAGGTCGTCCATAAATTATAGTTTCACCGAGTCAAAGCTTTAATCATTCACAGAGCATTATTGCTTACATTCTTTCCTATTTTAGATTAGTCTTTTTTCAATGTTGATAGAAATGCTTTTGATTTATATTTTTACCAAAGCATTTTATATTACTAAGAATTATGTTGACTACAATGTATTATACTGACAAACGTCCTGCGTATCCGAATGAAAAATGATATTTTCTCGTAATTAATTATCCCTGTCTATCAAAAGAGGTGACTAGATACTGCGACGTCCTGAAGATGAACGTCAAAAACACTTGAAGATAAAATGAATTAAATTCATAATCGCACACAAACGTGTCAGGTTGAATTACATATTCCTAAGCTGTTCAATTATATAAAAGAGTAAGTATCATAGTTCAAGGATTTTCTACTTATATTTGAACACTTTGCTAACATAAGGGATAACCAAAGATCCGATCGCCCATAGATAAGTCATATGCCTTAGTATTTATCATACCTTATGATATTAACAGCTAAATTACTTCAAAGTTTTACGTATCTACACTCTGATACAAAAAACTTGAACGACATGAATATTTCTCAATTATAAAATTACTATCAAACTATAACTTTATTATTTTACCTAAATATTATTAGATGCTTAATCTACAAAAGAGCTCGCTATTACGCAATCAAATTAAGATAATTCACTAATGTAATTGACAAATTTTCATAAGTGTCTTTCCACTTGAAATTGCAAAGTACAAGAAGTTTCACAGCCACAAAGTAGTTTTTTTTCGAAATACTAACTAAAGTGTAGTTGATATCACGAGTGTTACATGTTTAGCGATACTCAAAAATGTACGGAACAGCTTTAGTATAGAATGGGATAAATTACGACACGCGAGCTGAATTTCATTATTCACTACATTTCACATAACACACAGTCATCGATAAATGATCAGAGAAAAGGCCAGATATGAAACGACCTAAAATGTTTTGGGGAATTTCATATTTAAATTTGCAAGCTGTACTAATAACACTGACAAAATGGCACTGTTAACACGTATGATTATGATGAAGTCCATTACTCTAAGCCGAGTGCAATGATTGTGAAGCTTTCACTGCCTTTCTAAATAACTTCTTAAGTGCAAAACTCAGATTCAGCAAACTATTAAAGCAGTAATAAAAACCTTAAGTCAAGAATCATGTCAGCGGAGCAGAAAATTTTAAAAAAGTATACACGCAACGATTGGTCAATAACCATCAACTAGATTCAATGTTGATAAAAAAGCTATTAGTCATATACAGAGAAATCTGAATAGCTCACTTCTATCTAAAGTTTATGCTGATGTTGTTATCGACGTAGGAAATCAGAGTTTTATCATTTAAACCACTAAGCTAAAAGAACAGAAATTCACTAATATTATCGTTCAGAGAAACAAATCGTTTTCGGCATCACAGATTATTTGACGAGTTAACAACAGTTTCATTGTTGAGTAAATGTACCTGAATTATAAGGACTTTAATACGTATCACGTATTATCTGTGTTTACGCGGATAAATTGTGGTTCATCAGATATGTATAATATTAAACAGTGTACTAAACCTATGAATCGTATTTCGATGATGAACAAAACTGAATATCTACCGATTCACTTTACTGACCTTTATTTTCACTTCTGATTAGTCATTTATTTAGTATGGAGGATTTGTGGAGATTATAGTATTAGTGGAAACCTGGAAGCCCTTGACAATCGTTTCGTCCTAGTATTGGAGTTCTCAGCAGTACGCATCCAATCAAACAATTATATCTTTACCATTGACTAACCTCGAGATGTAACTCCCGGAGTTTGAGTGCGAAGCCATGGCCAGTGGAGTTGAACCGGGTTGATTGTGAAATGTGATTAACCTCAGGCAATGGAGGCAATGAAGAGTTACACAAGATCATGGATTGACTGAAGTTAGACATTAACATCGTTGGATACCGGCTCAGTGGTCCAGAAATGAAGCGTTTGAGTGCGAAACCAAAGATCCTGAGCTCGACTCCCACGTGTGGGATCGTGGATGCACACTGTTGTTGAGTGTTGTATTAAGACCGAACGGCCGTTCAGAGCCTCTTATTTTCAATGGTGATCCAGCTTAGTCATTTATTTGTTAACCGATCAATAATTCATACTCGTTTGGTTGATAAGATAAAGAAGCATTGATCAATTAGTTTGTTTTAATTTTGATACCTATACCTGTTAGCCCTTAACCTATTTCGTTCCTCTATGCTTGAAAAAAAGACTGTCTGATGAATATATATGTGTCAGGTTCTATAATGCTTATGGATAATTGACAAACCTTTCACTACACATATTACAAAGTCTAACTACTTCGAAGTGAATGTTTTTCTTTTGAAATTTCATTAGAAATGTGTTTTTGGAGATGGTTTTTGTTAAAACGGACATTTTCTGCATAAGTACATTTTCCTATAAAATTTAGTACTTGAGTGATTTACTGAAATATGCGAAATTCAATTTAACAAAGTCTTTTTTTATCACGTAAGATTGCTTAAATAAAGGGTAACTAAGTTAAAACTTGCGTTATTTATAAACAAACAATTTGATACAGTAAACCTATTATTCAGCTATAAGTTGGTTGTTTACTGGTTGATCTACACATTAATAATGTTATATTTGCATGGATACTTAAAATAACTTTTAAATAAGTTTATTTTATGGTTGAATGTTATGCTTATAAGTATGTTATTTTACAATTACTTTAAAATAATTTACACCTAAAACTGAAATCATCTTCAAACATGTTGGAAAACACGGGAAACTGAACTTCTATTAAATCTCATTTCAGGACAACTCTAAAATAAGTATCCACATCCATATGGGATTAAACCTTAAACCTTCAGTAATTCAGTGAGAAAAATTTCTTTTTGATCATTGAACTGGGATACAACAATTCATAATATCATCTTTCACCAGCAAGTGTTAATATAAGGTCTTCATAGAAGATAATTGGTTAGTTGATATATAATCAACAGTTAATAAATCCAAAGTACCTTTGCTTGTAGAACTTTAACCCATTATGTTGACGTAAAGAGAAATATGTTTTTTAGTTATCAAAGCTTTATGGAGATTGGTTTAACCGGTAGGCTATATATGTCACATACAATGATCTCATTCGCGGTACCACTGAAAACCTAAGAACACAGGACAGCTATTTCATCCTAATATGGGACTCTTCAGAAGCAAACACTTACAACCTTACCAAGAATTTACATCAGAAAATGCAGGTTTCTTGGTGAAAGCTTTGACTTCAGAACGACTGGGTTGGCGTCTAACGTCACATTTCGTTTTAAGTTTCCAGGAATTCCTGAATAAAGTCTCCAGAAGTCAAGTAAAGGTCGAAAACATTAAACTCAGTCAGCATCAAATAAAAACTTCACAGAAACATTCAGAAAAGCTGAGTATTATAAATCTTAATTCGACTAGATAAATGTTTATTTTGTCTTCGATTCGAGTGTATTTTCTTTACACAAACCCATCTCACAGTAACGCTTTTGCTCTTATCGCTCGTCTATCTTCACTACTCGAGACTCAATCGTTCGAATATTTACGTAATTTGAGAAGCATTATCACGTTTTTGAGTAGTAAACACATCACAGTTTTAACTTCGATCATTTGGTGAAATAAAGTGGCAATCATTAGATGTCAGTGGTGGAAAGTACGTTACGCCTGACATATTTGAGCACTATCACTCATGAATTCACGAAAGAACTTCAGGAATATCCAGAAGTTTATCACTAGTTGCCGACGACTATAGTTTAATTGGAAGGGTTTGTGGAGATTTGTCTAGTTTGTATATGGTTTATGTAACAGATTAGTGTTAGTTGAGGTAACACTGAAAACCAGGGAACACAAAGCAAAAATATATAAGCAAAGATGGATAGTGGCTAGCAGTGAAATTCAGTACACACGTTTCGTCCTATGTCGGACTCGTCAGTTGGATGTACCTGCACCTCAGAACTGATGTTCACTCCGTAACTCGAACTCAGTACTGTTCACGCCAAACGTCATCGCGTTATCCACCTAGTCCTGATAGCCACTTGCTTGTGCAATGGGATGATATTTAAATTCACTTGGTATTGTTTGTTTGAATCTTCTCATTGATGCTTAGGATTGCAAGTGATCAGTAAATATATTTTTATAACTTATGGAACTGTAATCGGGGGATTCTCATTAGATCAAACTGTTTAAATAATATATATTTAAGCATACATACTGAATAAAGACACTTTAATTAAAAAGATAACTTTTCAGGATAATATAGTATCACTATGACTTGTTTTTTTATTGTGTAATCAGTGGGTTAATGAAATCCAGCTTACGAATAGAACAGTAGAAGACTTTCTTAATATCAACAATGAATAAGAAGTGAATAAGTAATTTTCAGTTTCAATTACCAACTTACAGATTTGACCACTAATTTCCACCAACTATGATTCAAGCAGATGAAGTAAAATCATTAGTTATAACACCAATAATATATGATTCCAAGTGAACTACATGAACCTGTTCATAGTAAATGAGCATATATAAACTCTTTCATTTACATTTCAGTAGATTCAGTAAATTTCAATATCTTTCTCATACACTACAATAAATGATTCTATCAAAATGATGTAACACTAACAACCTTTAATATAGTTTACATATAAAATTAACATTTTTCCCAGTTTTTTCAGTTTTTTCTTCAAAAAAAGAGGAAAGTAGGACAAATTCGGAAAAAATCGAAAATAAAAAAAGTTGTCAAACTACAGAAATCAATATTTACTACTACTACTACTACTACTACTAATAATAATAATAATAATAATAATAATAATAATAATAATATTGTTATTATTATTATACTAGAAACATGATCTTTTTAAATATTTTCAGTCCGGAAATGTTCTTTAGTAATAAAAATAAATCCAAAAAAGGTGATCAAAGGAGAATGTTTCATGACATGATCAAAGACTACGCTTTGACATGCTCTATTTTTATACACAAGAATCGATGAAATTCAATAAGGTGTGCCCGTTTCTCTCTTTTTTTTTATCTCTTTGACCAAAACACACTAGTCACTTTTCACAGTTACAAAACAAAAAAATTAAAAAAACTTAAAGCCATTCGGTATTTTGATAGAAATTTATTTAGTTGAGAAAATTTTAAGGAATTACAAACTGGCACACATACATCATAATGAGTATGCGGCTAAAGGAATATAGATATTTTTCATAGGAATAAGTAAAGTTATACAGTGAAATAAAAGATGAAGAAAGCAAAAGAACATAAAAACAGCTATAGTGATTATTGTCATAGTCAATAAACTCATTTTTATTAAGCCTCCTAAAAATCTATTTGGTTGAAAAATGAAAAGGGGATTTAATACAATGTATTGGTTCATGAAACAATAGACTATTAATTTGAGTTGTGTTGAGTAATGGAAATATTCTGCTAAGCGCTCACATAGTAGTTATAATCCATGGTTGGAAACCCTTTGGAATATAGTGTACAAACGATATCAATGGTACAATTGCATTAGTTTTATGTTTTCATCCAAACTTTATGTTAAAAATCACTTTTAAACTTTCATTCGTCGATTTCTGATTTACAGGTCTTTACCACAGTTAAAAATATTCTCACTTCCTTCTTTCACATTTTGTTGAAATGACATTTAGCAAATTGTATTAATCCATACTCGTGTTAGATTTTATGTTGACACCTCACAAACACTTAAACTAAATGAGTTTATACAGTTTAAATTGCCCAGTACAAATAGGGATAGAACCAAGATTAAAATATGGGCTAATCAGGTGAATACAAAATGATTTAGAATTTTAATTATAAGGTATTGCTTTTAAACATCATCTATAATTTAGTCACTATTAATAAATAAGATTGACTATAAGTCTTAACTCCACTTAGATTACCAACTAACAAGAAACCTAAATTGAGAATCTCTTGGTGATCCTCTTCAACAACCGACCACAATACATAATGAACTATCATATGGCATCATTTAGACTAGTAGCTGCATAGCAACTTTAGTAATAAGAAATCGTTTACAATTTAAGAATAAACAACATAATACTAGTAGTTACTGAGTATATATATATATATATATATATATATATATATATATATATATATAATATATATATTATCCGAAGTCCACTTACTCTAAGTCAACACGAAATAGTTTAGATTGGATCCTATCCTCGTTCTCCTGCTCAATTTTAGTTCCTTTATGGATAAAAGTTAAATAAAATATTGTTATAAAAAATATTGACAACAATAAAAGTTCAATCAATTAAGTGAAATACTTCATTAAAGTTTGTACTGTACATCAAAAATATGACCCAATACTTTATAAACATAACTTTTTGAAAGTATACCTCATAATATCCTAACCTTAAGGTAGATAGCTACACCATTCTAGTTAAATGTGAATAATTAGTGAGCAAGATAAATCATTTGGTTATTGCCAATTTTGACCCAACTTTACCGTACTACCTGCATGCTCAAACATATCTATGAAGACCAAGATTTTCACTTCTCAAGTAGTTGCTTTAAAATCAAGTGTATCAAATACTAAGCCTTAGCTTCATTCTCTATATAAAATAATAATATACACGATTCCTAGTTTAGATACTAACATATGCTTGCTTAATAGTACTAAGCTGTCATCGTAAACCAAACTAAACACAGAAAACAAAACGAAATATTTTTTAAGCAAAGATGGATAACGGCTAGCTGTGGAAAAGTAGTTGCTGAAGTAAGTAAAAAGGTGTTTGGACATGTAATTCAATAGTCGAAAATCTATTATCTATATCACTAACTAACTCCACGTTTTCATCAGCAGATCTTTCAAATAAAATAATCCATTCTAGACTGTATTATAACCAGAGGTGGATAGTTACTAGCAGTGGAATCCAAAACTCGCGTTTCGTTCTACTTGAACTTGTCAGTTCTAGTGAATTAGTGACAACATCAAAGCGATTCGCACAGGATGTACGTTTGCCAAAAAACTGGTCAATTACAGTCCCAAACATTAACCAGAAGATTCAAACAACTGATACAAAAGAACTATTCTAGGCTGTGTTTATAATTACTAAAGCTTTAAAAGTAATGAATTTAGTGGGAGAAATAAGACCTAATCAAGCATTGAACCCCACGAAGTCAGTTATGTTTAAAAAATAACAAAATCATTCTGAGATAACATTCACATATGTAAACATAATTGTACATAAGTAAATCGTAGAGATAAAGTCAGCCACTCAAACTTTATTCAAAGGAATGTGTTGTGAAAGATGGTCTTGTTCAACTGATATTTATCAATAAGATAAATAAATCTATTCTAGAAAGACTTTTATTATAAGCAGACTATAGATCGTATTAGAGAATTTTGTGGTGGTGGAAAAGATTTGTACCTCAAATGAATTTCGTCCTGCGAGCCTGATGGTTTGAATATGGAGCTTTTACATAATTTTATTTAGTAAGTTATTTTATCAGTTTACGTTGGGCTATCTACCTTTAAACTCAACTGATTTCATATGACTAGTTTAATGTTTATTCAAAAAGCAATCTATTTAATAACGACAATAACAATTCAAAGTTGTGAAATTTAAAATAACTAACAATAACTAATGTAATCTAATCTACCAGATAAATATGTAGAACCCACCCATTTCAACTTATCTGCAATTTTGTAAACAATGCCTCTTGAATACAAATATTCCTAGATAAGAACATATTTTCTTTTAAACTATTATGTAAAATGTTGGCTTGACTTTTAAAAGTTACCGGTCAGAAGGCAATTCAAGCCTGAAGAATTTCTTTTCACTCAAGTATCATTTTGATTGGAAACTGACGTCATATGCCGATGTCACATAGTATGAAATCGTATTCCAGACAAATGTTAAAAAGTTCTTGATTTAAGTCGTTAACTGATTGATGTTAGACCACCATTGAAAACCTGGAAGCAATGAACGGCCGTCTCGTCCTATTGTGGGACTCCTCAGCAGTCCCCATCCACGATCCCGCTCACGGGATTCGAAATCAGGGCCTTCAGTCCCGCGCGCGAACGTTTAACCTCTAGACCACTGAGTCAGCATCCCAACGGTGTTGTTGTCTAACCTCAACCAATCCACAAAATTGAGCGACCATCTTCCATTGTACTGAGGTGTATACCTGTCTCTAACCGACACGGATTAGCCCCACTGGTCACGGCTTCTCACTAGAACTCCAAGGATTCCCTCACGAAGTTAGTCACTAGTGAGCACATGGTATAAAGGAGTATAAGAGTCTTGAGAGAGGAAAACAATTTTTTCAATGACTTTCGACGATTCTTTAGTTGATAGAAATAACTTTGAAGCTGTTTCTTGATAATATAAGATCTCAATTGAATCACCCAAGATAGCTTTAACTTAGCCGGACTTAAAGCATATTTATATCCATATTTATATCCATCAAGACTGTAAATAAATACACCAACTGTTTATAACTCATATAAATTTTATCATAATTTAACCTCTTTTTAACTACCTCGTATCCAAAGTTGATAAATGCCTTGTCTTCTATTTAATTTTTCTTTTCTTTCTTCATGATTCACATGACTGTCATTTTCACCTTCCTGAGTAGTTGATTTTGTTGAACGAGAAGTCAAACATAGTTGATGGTAGAATTCAACGTTGTCTACCCATTGTTCATTGACTTCTGGGAATAAACTAACGGTTCCTGTGTTTAGGTTTATAACATATGGGTCAGGTAAACTAATTTGAATAGAACTTTGACAAAACTGATCTAGATCACGGTCAATCACTTGGTTTGACTGATGTATTTCGATATTATGTTTAGCCGACTGTTGGTGATGTAGGCAATTTTGTTGATGACCCAGGGGATAAATGAGCAAATTCTTCGATGAGACTAAACAGACAACAATCTAAATTTTTTTAGAAAAAAATATCACTTAACAAAAAAGTAAACGCAATCTTACTAAATAATTGGAGATAGTTAACACAAATCCATGGACTTAGGTTTCACCTATGTTAACACTTGCCAGTTATGGTATTTTTCCTCCCCAAAAAACTGATACTTCTATGCATCAAACTAAATATACTCTCATCTAGAGTCACATAAACCATTACTCTGACTTCATCTAGATTAACAGAATGTGATCAGTGCTTATGCAAAGATAAAAATAATATTGGTTACGGATGAAGAGTCAGTCAAAATGAACACAAAAAATGCGATAACTGTGATCCACAAAATAAGTTACAGGTAAAGTGAATTTCTCATTGCAAACAAATTCTTATCCTACTTGTATGTTATAGAAAAACAAAGATAATAAATGAATACAGTTTCCTATTTGATGCCAAAATTCATTATTGAGTTTATCAAAACTGAAACAAGTGTACTGAAGAAAGAGAGACATAACAAGTCAGTGTACTACTTACTTCTACTATCCAACAGAAAAGAGACAAAAAAAAAGGAAATTGATAAAAACAATATTTCAGGCGTATGATGAATTCTGTTTAGACGTAGCCTACTATTTTTTAGACAGAAATTTTTTCTAAGAAAAAAAAAGGTAAATAATGTTTTGAAAAAGAGAGAAACAACCAGAAAAGTAAGATTTTTTTTTCTTTTTAGAGTCACCTAAAACAATTATCTGACAGTATTAATAATATGTTGTATAAAATGGAAAAAAGCACATCAAATGTGACGTGAATATTGTTGTTCAGAAATATTAAGGAAGTTGAATATGAACGATAAATTCAATAACCAAAAAACAACCATCGTTGAATCTTATTTTTTGCAATCATAAAGGGGTTTCTGGAGGTTGTAGTAATTTAATAATTGAATTCGTGAGTCAATTATATGCTCACTATTGACTGTCTCCAAGAAGTATTTCCTGGAGCTCTAATGAGAAGCCGTGACCAGTGGAGTTCAACTGAGTTGGTTATGGGATAATAACTCACTGAACGCAATGGTGGACGGTGGAGCCATTTCGTGAATCAGTTGAAGTTAGACATTAACACCGTTCGATCACGACCGGCTCAGTGGTCTAGGGGTTAAGAGTTCACGCGCGAGATCGAAAAGTCGTGGGTTCGAATCTTGCGGGGCGGGATCGTGGATGCGCACTGTTGAGGAGTCCCACAATAGGACGAGATGGCTGCCCAATGCTTCCAGGTTTTCTATGGTAGTCTAACTTCAATCGACTCATGAATTCAATTATTAAATAAAATTCACGTTTTAAATTATTGCAAATTATCTTTTAACTTACATTGAAATTATCATCTACGGTTAAAATGGTAATAGCTTGACAATGAAAATTCTTCTTTCCCCTAAGAATAAAGAATATTTTAATAATAACAAAAAATCAATCGATCATTGGTAATTAAATCACATAATGATTGGTCTATAATTAAGTAGTACTGATTCAATTTTTTTAAAACTGTTCTAATTGTATCGATAAAAGTACAATGCAATCAATTAGATGAAATGATTTCATATTAAAAATAGAATCAAGAATATGATTAAATAAACCAGTTATTTTTTGTGATTTATGATATGTTGACTATTATAATTATTATAGTCTCGTTTCTTATAATATACTATCGACTAATTAACTACGAGTTCACTAAACTAGTCATTATTTCAGAGAAATCTAGTCATGAATCAATGAATTTCAACCATAAATATTGTGAACGATACTATAATTATTCTGATTAGTGTTACGTTGATGGAGATTTGTTATCGTTATTATTTAAAAACTTGTTTCAAAGCAGTTTGAGAATACCTTTATCAATGAACATAAGTTATTGTTTTTCAACAAAAGACATCTTACGTTATCTCAAATACATATTAAAGTATTAATGCCATAACGAGAACATATCAATTCTATATTCCACTCAATACTATTTAGCTTACGAACCAAATATTCTATTAGTTGAGTTCATGAGTTGAGCTAATCTATACCACCATGGAAAACCTGAAAGAACTAGATGGCTGTTTCATCGTAGTATAGGACTCCTCAGCAGTGCTCACCCACGATCCCGCATGCAGGACTCAGACCCCTGACTTTTGGCCTCGTGCGCGAACGCCTTACCTCTAGACCACTGAGATGGCCGGCATCCAACTGTGTTAATGTCCAACTTCAATCAGTTCTAGAAGCCTTGCATAGTTAGCAGTTAATGACTCAGATCGTATCGACTATTCAATCTATATTTAAAATGTGAATTCAATCCATGAAGATTATTATCTTTTCTGGTTTAAGTAAGCAATTATATGTATTAAACGACCGGTATTTCGCCAAATTTCTTAAGGTACACAAGAAATACAGTACATGTCAAAAGTTAAGATAATTGTATCTCTTTTAAAAACATTTCAGCTTACACAATATCGGTTTTTTTCCACGTCAATTGATTTTCATCTAAATTATAAATATCAAACGTGAATTTCTTGCGTAATATCAAATCACCCTTGGTTGAGTGTTTATTCTCATTTACACAACATGCAGTAAGTAGATTGATGTATTTGGTACTTATCAACAGACCAGCATCTACCAATGATCCTAATTCGGTATAAAATAGGGGTAAGTATCTCCCTAAAAATGAAGATATATAAGCAAGTTAGTTATATATTTAACTGTTTCATTTTATAATCAGCAAATCAAATATTATGTCAGTAATATTTTGCTTGAAAGAATTTACAGATATCCACTCAGTTGGTAAGCTGTTTTTCCCTTGAATTAGCATAATCTCAGGTATCATTGAAAACAAAACATTCGGTATGGAGTTCAACTAAGGGCTTCCAGGTTTCATTACTAGAGCTTAATCACAAGACTACTTGTAGGATTTCAGTCACCCACAATCTTAAGCTTCAATAAATTTTCGACTTAGCTCGATGACCACTTAATATCATTCATGACAAGTGATGTGATAAGAGATGGTCTCTAGGCTTACAGTGCAAAGTCGTTAATGGTGGAGTTCAACGGTATCTGTTTTGAAACAGAAGATGTCTTTCATCGTGTTACATGGAGAATCGATTGAAATTGAAAATTAGATGATGTATTGAGTCTTCATTACTCCAAACTAAGACGGTACATATGTTTACTTGTCCCTGATTTTAAACAGAACTCCAAATGATATAAAACTTTGACTGAAATCACCTTCAATGTAACATCTTGTTATTTTCCTTAACTGTATTATACAAATGTTACAGTTTGATAATGAGAGATAATATCAACTGATTTATTACAGTACACCCTCACATGTCGAAATCAGTTGATTAGCTTTTTGAAATTGCCGCCTTTTATAAGCACTACAACTAATTACATTTTTAGAAAAAATCATGTTTTACAGGCATATTACCTAAACAATAAAGAGTAGTTTACACACTCTCACTTCAATACCTACTTTTAAAAGCTGATATTCATCATTCTCTAAATGATAAAATAATCTGTCCACTAGAATAACTTTTGGACTAGAAAAAAAGCAACGCTAAAGGACTCTCTTATTGTTAGTAATTCCTGAATAAATTGAAGCGTAAGTGAAGTAGTGATGTTGCCCATACTTTTATTAATCAATCGATTGATTACTTAATTAAAAGAATATGAGTAAACTAATCCATTTGTACAGAACATACACATATATTTAGTAGTATTTCCCTCTTTAATCCCGAAGACTTAATTACTAAATTATTAATATTCGTAATTCAATTAATTATTATAATGTATTACAATGAATAGATCGGAGAAACGGTTAATAAATCTTTATAAATTGCTCTTTTTATATAAGTGCGCTCAAATACAAAGCAATATAAAGAAATGGGGAAGTGATATGAATTTTTGAAGAGAGTAGGATGAGACACAACAACAATCAACCGTTATTGAATAATGCAAAAAGGAAGTTTGCAGAAAGAAAAAGGAAATTAACATTAAATTTGATTAATAATTGATTAGTTTCAGTCTACTGAAGTGTTTGTTTGGTTGGTTGGTTTCGATGAAAAATTATTTATTTTCTTTTTCCGCATCGTCACTTTTTGCATTAAATAGAAGGTGGAAACTAAGTACAGAGTGATTATTTTTTAATCGAGTAGTAAATTGCTTTTGTAAACAGATAGGTGTTTTGTGGATAATATAGTAATTTAATGGTTGAGTTCATGAGTCATTTGAAGATAAACCACCATGGAAAACCTGGAAGCACTGGACGGCCGTTTCGTCTTATTGTGAGGCTCCTCGGCAGTGCACACTCATGATCCCACCTCGCGGGATTAGAACCCAGGACATATTAGTCTCGCGCGCGAGCGCTTAACCACTAGAACACTGAGCTAACCGGCATACAACGATGTTAATAACTAACTTCTACTAATCCACGAAATTGCTCAACCATACACTATTGTCTTCGTTGAGTTATTATCTCACAACCGACCCAGTTGAACTCAAGTTTCACATTACTAATGATCATCAGATCTTCATAAAACTCTTAAGTACTGAGTGTACAGATCTAAAATAACAAGATTGAGGTTTTCTTGTTTATTCGTTAGTTTTTTTAAAAAATTCAATAACCTCATCTGGAAAAGAGAAACCTAAATACACAAACTGTCTGTAATATGCATTTTGTGAGGCGATCACCTCCCCCAAATGTTTTATAAAATAAGTGATAACAAAGAGATAAATATCTTAGAAAGTTTATAATGAATGCCTTATCCATTTGAAAATCTCCCAACGTAGTGTGTAACACATATCTCATAGTAAAGTCTATCGGCTATCGTGTTCACTCAATGTTAACGATGATTCACGGTTGTTCTTGAAGTGCGCCTAGTAAATTGAAATAATCCTGTTAATTCATTAATAATCGACTGGAAAAATAATTTTTAATCTAAGTTTATAGCTGTTATAGCCTGGTGGATTACAGATTCGTCAACTCGTTTGTGCAGAACGAGCCAAATGTCAGATTTTCCCGACTCGTGATATACTAAAGATATTTCACCCTTTGTTTTCTGTCCACTCAAATTGTCTCATTTGTGTTTTCGTAACAAAATCGTTTTGATTCTTTTTTGTATTGTTCGCTTAAAGCTTCCCATTGACGTTTTGGACTGAAATTGATCAGTCTTCTATTGGCATGTGTACATCCTGTGAGGATTGCCTCGATATTGCCTTAAGCCATAAGCATTATAAGTAAAGATGGATGGTGGCTAGCAGTGGAATCCTGAACGAGCGTTTCATTCCATTTGGGACACGTTTGCTGGATTTACCTGCATTCCCGGAGTTGATGTTCACTCCATCTTTGTTCATATGAAAGTGTTATTATAATTGGTACATTAGTAATCAAAATGCATGGTTTAATAAATCACACTATGAAATACATAAGATATTTTTCATTTGGTTCATTTCAATAAAAACAATGCGCTTGGTTCACTTGACACACTAGTAGGTAACATTTTATTTCTAAATAATCAAAAATATGAATGGTTCATTCAGATCATATTTTCAAATGACAATTCAATTTTATTTTATTCAAGCCGAATTAATCTGATAAAATGATGATCATTGAATGAATTCGGTTCAACGAGCGATGCGTATCCTACTTAATTAATAAAACATGGTTGATTATATAGAAAAAAACTATCGACATTCAATACCCTAAGAGAGTTATCTCAGAATTAAGGTTATCAAACAAATTAACTAGTTTTGAATTTATAAGTTTAATGAACATACAATAACTTAATTGCATATAACATAATTCCATGCGTAGTTAACCGTAAAAGTGGAAAATACTAAATCAATCAACAAGGAAATGTGGAACGCACTGTATTTTGACCGCTTCTGGGTAATAAAAAGCTGGTAACTCAATATTCATCTCCTTTCTTATCTATTGTCCTCATTTGTTCAAAGATAATAAGCTTTTTCTCAATTGTTTTAAAGCCATCTTTAAATTATGTCTCAATGTGCAATGAATAAACATTCGTTATGCAAATCTTTGATTATGAATAATCACAGTAGAAACAATCAATGAAAATTAATTGCACATGCATCAGTTCTATGATTTCTTTTTATAAGTTAAATATAATTCAGTAAGTACATTCTTTTCGAATTACTGTCAAGCAAAGTTCGTATACTTTATACATCAACTTCTTAATCCACATCACATTTATAATACTGAATTCAACCTAACGGAGAAATGATCGTGTAAATATCCTTATATATGATAATAGTTATCCAGATAATATTTATCAGCTGAAAAGAAGCTATCATATTTCAAATATATGTAATGAATTAAAAATTGATCGATACCTAAGGAAACTAGATAAGACATAGGTGTATTTAGAAACTGAATTAATGTTGAAAAATAGTGATCATTTTATTCCAACTAGCTAGTCAAAAGTTTATATGAAAACTGTAGTGGCTGTGCTTCGTCGACCAATCACCCTCGTAACCCTTATCATATAATCCTCAACGCTGTTTGAAATCAGAAGGCAAAGAGAAGCAGCTACTACAGTTTTATTAGCAGATAACTCAGACCACAAAGCAGAGGCAAATGAATGAGTCAGCTAACCGAGAGTGTAGAGTGTAAATGTACATGTATATATATAGGGAAATGAATGGACCATCGAATCATTTAAGCAGTTAATGATAAAGCTAGTAGAATGAATATACGAGTAGGCGGTAAGCAATGTTCAAGCATACATACTTCATACAAGCACAACAATGATAAAGGTACAATAAGTTGTTATAGTACGGATGACTTTGTCCGCTAAATAAGTTAACAAAAGGGCTTAACTGAGTTAAATGAGAACAAACTCAATTGCACATGAGTTGCTATAACACTAGGCTACGATACCTAGATACAGCCCCAAAATGAAACTATAGGTCAAGTACCGGATAGCTCCAGTGTTATATAGTTCTTGATAAATTTGTTCATTATATGTTCACTAACAACAAACTCCAAGAGGTTAAGAGCTCGCTATACAGCTTAGAAGTCTTGAGTCTATTCCCTAATGGGGTCGTACATGAGCGCTACTAATGCAAAGGCTTTTACTAAGGTAAAACAGCCGTCATCCTAGTTTCCAGTAGTTTCTAGCTACAGTCAGCTTTGATGTACAATAAAAGATTCCTCAGTTGAGAGCAATTTCTAATAAAAACTACGAATAGTATTCAGTAAAATATTTGCCCAATAAGGATTACTATTACGTTAGTCAGTAGGCAATGATCAATAGAAAATGTGAGTTAACAACCAATAAGATTAACTAACCTGACTGTAATTGTTTAATTATAACTAATCTAGATTGAAGACCGATCACCAGATAATTATTTCTTGAATTAATTAAATCTGGCTTCTTTGACAGATTTTCTTTATCATCAATGAACGTTTCATGTGTATTGACGGGATGACCAGAATAGATAACTGAAATATAAGTTATTTCTGAACCGAAATATCGTATTTCTTCTATTACGCCTTCTTCGGCTATGTAGAGAAATAAAGTAGAGAGGAATAGGATAAGTTTAAATAATAAAAGGTTGATATCCTTAAATGCAGATATTTCTCAATTATCGATAACATGGTATTTTTTTCCAAATATAGTAAGTATGCAGAAATTAATTCCCCGCATTTAAACTGTTCCAGTGTCTAGATTACTAAAAATAACAAATCTGTAGTGGAAATAACTTCGAGATAATTCGATAGGCTTCATATATTAGATAAATCTAAACTGTGCGTAAATTCAGAAGGTAACACAAAGCGCCGATTACAGTTTATTATCGAATAGCACAGATCAATAGACCACAAGCACACCAAGAAAATTCGAGCAGAAAAGCTAATGCGCGCGAACGAGTGAACATAGGTGATTTAATAGGATTCAAGCACATGTATATATGGGAATGAGAATGATTCATTGTGGGATCTAAACAACTAACATTTAAGCTAGAGAGAGGAGTACGTGTGTGGGCTGTCACATGTGATCCAGCATACATGTTCATACAGACATGATAACAATATCAAGATATACAAATTGTCACAGTTCTAGTAACACTGTTTGTTACATACGTTGGTTGAAGAGCTTGACGAAATTAAACGTAAACAAAATTAAGTGTAGTAGAGGTGTACCAAGTAGGTTTATCTTACTGATCTGATAAATTGAAAAGTTAAGTATAACAGTTTAACTGAATGATGAGTGGAATTAGTTCGAGGTTTTAAACTTAATGGAATGTTTATTGCATTTGTAGTCATCCTATGGATATGACTTAGTTCACTTGTTCGGTATTCAAAATTATGTGACCAATGATGATCTGTGGTCATCATGCGAATAAAAGATATCTGTTACTTTACATCAAACTTGAATAATTATTGATTGAGACTCATTTGAATGGATTGTTTTTGACCCCATTAATTCAGTTACGTTAACGGTAAATTATAAATTGACCAACTTACGAACGTTTGTTACAATTTATTACCGGCTTAATAAAAACATAACGTTTTCAACGACCCGTAAAATGATACTAATCAAGATTATAGAAAAGAACTCGATACCAAGATACATATTAATGAATTTTGAAAATATTGATTATACACCTACTCCATTAAAGTAATCTCTAAATTGATATCTCCTGACAAGTTAACAGAGCGGGGTAGAGTAAAAGATGACTGAACACTTGAGCTTTTACTACCCTAGCCTAAACATTCTGAAAATGTGTTTAAAGCCGTTTCGATTCACCAAACTAATCTGGATTGTCTTTTTGTGGCCTCTTTATCCATACAATCTGAAAACATAAAGATACCAAAGGGAAAGCAAACAATAAATACTTTAGTTATAAAAATCTTACTTTTAGAGAATTTATCTAAAGGATAAAAGAAAAGATAACATGATCTGGACCAATAAACACAAATCGATCCAGAGTAGGCTACAAAAGAAATTAAGAAACGATTATCAGTCATGAATAAAAGTCAGTTATTTATTTTGCAATGTCTGATTGTTTACAACGAATAATCTTAAATCATAAGAAAGTCATTGGCTATTTGTTTTTCAATCAAAATTTCATGAAAACTTAAGATTATTAACTGTCGAACAGTAATATATAGATCCTTCTAGACATGTATGAAACAATTTAAAGCTTATTTGATGATAATGAAGTCATAATCATCCTAACAAACATCATTTTCAATTAACAAACCACTCTATCATGAACATTTTGCATATACTGTCTTACTAAGACTTATGTTTTACAGTAATACATTTAGAGCATAAATAAATATCTGCACTTGAAATAGTTATTTAGACTGAGAATGTCAGAAAACCCTAGTGAACATTCTGACTAATAGTGATTCCGTTACTAGTTATGGACGAAAGTTTTCTATAATTCTTTTAAAACAGTACAAACTTCCCTACAAAATGAGAAACCATCACTTTCTAGTTTGATAGAACCCAAATGTACCAATTCTTAATCATTCAACTATGGTGAAATGGTGAAAAAGACGTTGTTTTCTTACGTAAAAACAACATTCGTACAAAAATGTACACGACTGTATCATTTTTATTTAGATTAGAAAAGTTTACGTCATTATAAATGACTATGAAATGAAATTCAAGATAAAAGTGTTTCTGTAAGATTTGTAGAGTGATTAATCATTCATAATTTACTTAAAGTGAATGTATAATAAAGATATAATTTGAATGAAGTGATATTAGTTTCAATTAGTTCCTCATCAGTGGCTAAATACTGACATAAATAATGATTCCGACTAGCCAAAAGCATCAAACACTTGAACATATTTAGTGTGATTTGAGTTACTTAGATTAGTGACCACATTAAATTTTGACTAGCACTAAAAGACTAAACAAAAGTGACAATGGTCGATACTCGTCGACTAATCAAATATAAATATCTCAGTCTTAAAAGAGGTCATTCATGGTTCACTAGTACCGAGCTAGACTGTAAAACAGGATGATGAACTGACAGTTCCTTCAAGACTACACATAAGCCTTAGTGATGAATTATGACTGGCGAGAAGCACAGGTTCTAGTTTTTTTATAGACTTTTTCCAAACAAACAACATCTCAGTTAAACATTTGAATATAAAATCAATATCAGAGAAAAGTTGCTAGTAAATCGATAAAAGAACTAAAGAATGCAAATCATTTGATCACTAAGAGTAATTACATATGAATGTAGATGCAAAAACCGTAAGCGTAAGTTTGAACTTTAGAATCATTTAATTATTCCCAATGGCTATGTAAAAAGAATAAAATAATAATTATGAGCATAAAATTGGGCTCATAATCTGTTGGCTACTATGAATCATTAAGCACCAGTTTGACAATAAAAATGTAAGCGTAAGTTTGAAATTACTTGAATGTGGGTAGTAGAAAGGGGCCATTCTACGGAGTAACAAAGCCATGAAATAGAAAGAAAGAAATAATCAGTACAATATACAGTCATGCTAAACCACTCATGAATTCGACTCCGATACATTTCACAGAAAAAATGAAGCGATAATAAATTAGCTGAGGAATTAGTGTAATGCGACAAATCAAGGAAACTCTAATTTTTATTATTTGTTGATAGTATTTATTTCAGTATACAACCAATATTGACTGTAATTATGTTCGCATTAATCGATATCAATAATCTCAGTATACACAAGGGAGAAAACAAGATCTTAAAATACAATACAATGAGCACCGTCCAAGTCACACTTAATGGAGATGCTCTGGAAGAGATGGAAAGTTTTGCACACCTAGGCAGTACCATTGATGAACAAGGGATATTCGATGACGGTGTAAAGGCAAAGATTAGCCAAGCAAGGACAGCATCCTTACAAATGAACAGCATCTACAACTCAAAACAACTATCAGTCACCACCAAAGCCAGAATTTTCAATACAAACAACAAGACAGTTTTAGTGTACGGAGCTTAAACTTAAAAGGCTACTACAACCATCATCTAAAAAGTACAGGTATTTATAAACAGTAATATACTGCAGATCCGTTAGCCACATACCATCAGCAGCAACCTGATGTGGCAAAAAAACCAGGTGAAGAGGAAAGTAGGGAGAGACAGAACGTGGATAGGGTACACATAGCAGAAATCATCATCACGAAGCAAGCCTTGACTTGGTATTCCTCAAGGCAAGAAGAAGAAAAAGACTCAAAAACAAATTGACCAGGAAATTAAATGTAGACACCAAAATAATGAATATCATTTAGTAACAATTGAAAAGGAGAGTAGGAGATTCCCAGTCGGTGGCCTATGCTCAATGTGGGGTTACAGTAAGTAACATCAATAACCGACGAATAAGCTGATGTCGGTTAAATAAAAATGAATAACCTATAGATTTATTAGTACGGTATTATACCAAACGCGAATCGGGGAATTTTCGAGAAAAATTACTCTCTCTAATGACTAGGTCTATAGGGAATATAATAAGTTTGTAAACTTACACAAATTGGTCAAAGATGAAATTTCTGATTGTTTACTATTAGAGGTTAAACTAATTGGCAGGAATTCAAAATATGGATAGCTATAACAAAGTGAGAAAAAAAAGGGAAATGCATTTTCTTTGTTGTACACTTTAAAAAACTGTAACCAGTTTTATATGATTTATACAAGTTTAACTTCCTTAAAATATAATATATAGCTACATACTGAGTGTTTTAAATCTATGATTTATAATTAATTAAATGGAAAACCAAATATCATGCTTTGTCGAGTAACCGGCATAAACATGAAATTACTACATTATCCACAAAACCCATCTGATATTAATCAACATATGCTCACTAGTGACTGGCTTCAAGAGGTATATCCTAGAGTTGTAGTGAGAAGTAGTGACCAGTGGAGTTCAATCAGGTCTGTTGTGAGATAGTAACTCGCTGAAGACAATAGTGAATGTGCCGCTCAATTTGGTGGATTAGTTGAAGTTAGACATTAACACCGTTGGATGCCGGCTCAGTGGTCTAGTGGTTAAGTACTCGCGTGTGAAACCAGTACGTCCTGGGTTCGGATCTCGCAGGGGGCGAGGTCGTGGATGTGCACTGCTGAGGAGTCCTACAGTAGGACGAAACGGCCGTCCAGTGCTTCCAGGTTTTCCTTGGTGGTCTAGCTTCAACTGATTTATGGTCTTAACCACTGAAATAAAATACAGTTTGATCTGCTTTTCAAGAACCAAATACTAGATTTCATTCAAACAGAATCCGTAAACTAATACAAAGTAGATAGCTGGATAATTGGATCAGTTGTCTTTCCAACTATGTAAATGTTAAAACCAATCTTCTTGATCTAGATTATATTTATGGCCAAGTGTATGCGGTCACGAAAATTCTATAAAAAGCTTACAACTTGTTGGGATGTTAAGCACTAGAAAATTATACACAGAAATAGAAGTACTTGTACCTCTTTGTTCATAACTTGAACAAACAAGAAATGACTACACTAAAATTCATACATCCATTATATGACGATAAAGGACATAACACTTAAAATGATATAAAGTTTTCGCAACTGAATATAAGTGGCAAATACTGACCAATAAAAAACACCCAAAAGATCTTGAGAATAATTGCGATTTAGATGTATGGTAATATATTGCGTATATATAATCCCTTTAATTTACTTGAAAAGAAGAACAAAGGTTTGAACAGAATAAAATGACGCAGTAGCTATTCCGATCAAAATATCGAAGCTTTGAGTCCAAAAAAATATGTTCAACTGCTTCTTTCATATTGACCAGCTTCTGAGCCAATTCGTCAACAATCATTTTGGTGATATAGAGGCATAGTTTGACAAATGTATGTACAGCTTTCATCTTTATATTTTCATAGCTTGAATATATCTGAATCACTTATCTTAGATGCTTGTAAACATTTGAGGAATTTAATTGGCACCCATCCCTATTTACCATATCTTACTTAATCCATATTATTCTATTCATTATGCAATTGCAGATCAAATATTTATTTTGATTTGCAATTACATTATTATTTTTCTCACCTCATGTCATATTTTCCCGCCAATAATCCTGGATTTTACAAATTGTTATTTTGAATGACATATTTACTTTGAACTTGGCTATTCCCTTTGAAACATTAATTTAGATTTATGACAATAGAACCTGACGGTAACTTATTGAAAAAGAAAAAAATCCTCCGTTCGCATATATATGTGTTGTTAACATGAATTTTTGTAGCAATTAAACAAGATGCTGTTAGTGCTCCTAATGGTTTGTTATGACTGTTATACAAGCTGTTATATGCTATTTATTTGACGGAACAAGACTGATATGGCCTGATGCAAGGAAGAAAAATAACACCATTGATAAGATTTAATATATACACACAACACACTACAATTGATAGAACTAACATCTATTTTACTTCTTCCTAATAATTTTCTCAGATTTTTATCAACTACTCACAACTTGTAATAACTAAAAATCATAATTATAAATACTGATTGAAAATACTCACACAAATGACTTTAGTTAGAAAATGTTTTAAGCACACCGCAGTATATTTCAGTAGTTGAGATCATGAGTCAATTGAAGCTAGAACACCATGGAAACACTTGACGGTCGCTTCGTCCTACTTTGGGACCCCTCAGTGGCAGTGGGCACCCACGATTTTGACTCGCGAGATTTCAACCCAGGTTATATCAGTCTCGCGCGTGAACGCTTAACCACTAGACCACTGAGCTTGTCAGCATCCAACGGTGTTAATGTTTAACTTCAACTAACTGAGCATTACATCCATCATTGTCTTCAATGAGTCACTATCTCACAGCAAACCCAGTTGAACTCCACTGGTCAACCAGTATAGTTTACAAAAGATGTAAATAAATTTAAGCCAATTAATAAAAAAATTATTTCAAATACATTCCACAACATTGATAGCAACAAATGATCAAAGGACTACAATTAAGTGGTCACATATACTGATTTATACTGAAAATAATTTCCTATTGCAGTCATTTGTTTGATTAGAATGTTTGTCATTTATATCAGGTTTCTTTTCAAATTCACTTAGTAATTTTTAATTTTCAATATACTATAAGATGTCAATAACTGATGAGAACTTAATCAAATGAAATGAGAATAGTGGTATTCTCCTCAAGTCTTTGCTCTTAACTTTTTCAAGACAATATTGAACAATTGGTACTGATAACTCTTCCCTGTAATAAAATCTATGATACTCAATAAAGCAGTTATTATTAGTAAGGTGCCTACTCATTACAAATTTTCGTCAAAAACCAGACCATATATACACTTAAATGTTTATCTGTAGTGCTAAATCAATTATTCTTAAAATTATCAGTTTTTCTGGACAATAAATTTTAATAAAGGGAGACCTATTTCAACTAATTCTTTCTACGTAACTATAGTCAAATAACTTAACTGTCGTTAAGGTTAATCATGAAAATTAAACCAATAATCCTAGGTGTGGTCGTAGTTGCGCGCTACTGTGTAGTTCAAAACTAAGCCAAAACAGTTTCCCAGTGTTTCCTTCTTTTCAAAGGTTATCAGTTCATGATTAAAACTGTGAATATTAATAATCATTTGAACTGTCAAAAACGAACACTAAAATTTCACATCAACATCAGTTTCTGATCGTATATCAAGATTAATTTCTGATAAATATCGAATGTTTATTTAAGACTGTTGGCACACAAACCAACTATAATGATAATTATTAGTGTTATTTTATCTGTTCTTGAATATTCGTCAAGTTTTATTAGTAAAGTTTGAAGAACAAATAGTAATTCCAAAATGGTTTATCACGGTTGAATAATTAACAGACTTCGATAATAATAGTTATGACTGATGTTAAGTGAAAAAGTACCCTGTTAGAGTTGAAATAATAGTTGACCTATAATTAGAGTTAATTTCTAATTCTCTGTAATCATTCTGATAATTCAAACATAATAATGTGTATAATAATAAATAACTCCGCCTGAAACCCCTCTGGGGCTACTGCCAGTCTCGAGCCCGGATAAAGGCGGAGAGTTGGGCATGGGGTTAGCGACACCATCCCGTAGACAACTAACTCGCTAAAAAGACGCTAACCAGGAAAAATAGTCCAAACCATTTAAACTCTGCCCTAGGAGTCAGAAGGCCTTCACTTAGAAGAGTTATGACGTCTCATGATAAAATCCGAGTTTCTTTGGAAGTTAAATAGCTGATGCCCTTTCTGACACCCACAGCAACCATTAATTGAGGTACATGGAATATTCGTACAATGTGGGGAACCGGAAATCAATCACTTTAGAATTTCTTATAAGTAAAAATTTTACACTTTTACCATTTAGGTTGTGCTTCATATAAATCTTTTACTAACTGTCTTCTAATTTCTTCATTTTGTTGAGTTTTTTTCAATGAATCATCTACTCGTTCAGTTCCATCAGTAACCGAATCTTTTACATTTGTTTCAATATCTAATTCAATTTCTTGTTTTCTATTATTAGTTTTATTCTTCCTTTTTGGCTTTTCATCGTTGTCTTTATTTGATAATGCATCGGTAGTTTCAACATTAGAGTTCAGCTTTTCAGCTTTTTTATTATTACGTCCATTTATTGTTTGTTCTTTGTGCTGTTGTTTACGTTTAGAAGATTTTGTATTTCTAGTTTGGTGTTTTATTGAACTTGGTGAGTGTGGTTGACTTCTTTCTGTTGTGGGTTCAGATATCTCTATTTTTTGTGTATGTAATATGAAAATATGCAACAACAAATTAAAATAAATTTAAGCAACACAAAACAAAGCGGATTTTTTAGTAAGTCTAAAATCATGAACTGATCAGTGATAGACTATCAATGGAAACCTAAAAGCACTTGACAGCCGTTTCTTCCTACTATAGCGTTCTTCAGGAGTGAGCATCCGCAACTCTGCACGTTGGAATCGAACCCAGGACCTTCGATCGCGAGCACGAACGCTTAACCTCTAGACCATTGAGCCAGTATCTAATAGTGTTTACGTCTAACTTCAAGCAATCCACGATGTCGAGTGACTACCTTCCATTGTCTTCGGTGGGCAACTGTTTAACTCAACACGGTTCAACTTCACTGGTCGCGGCTTCTCACTAGAACTCCGTGACCTACCTCTCGAAGTTAGTCACTAGTGTGAGCATAATAATTATCAGTATACAGTTGTAGAGATTTTTGAGTTTCACTGAAATCATAAACCAACCAATGTAAGCTGGTTGCGCAATATAGTGGATTGATTGAAGTTAGATGTCAACACCGTTGGATACTGGCTCAATGGTCTAGAGTTGAAGCGTTTGCGCTCGAGACCGGAGGTCCTGGGTTTGACTTCAATGTGCGAAGCTGTTGATGCACACTACTGAGGAAGCTCACTCGGACGAAACGGAGATTCAGTGCCTCCAAGTTTTCGATGGTAGTCTAACATTGATAGGTTCATTATTTCAGTGAACTAAGCATTCTACGCAACCCTATACTGAAAATGAATCTAAGCTACAAAGTATTAAATCTTAACCATCATAGAATTAACTTTTCTTGTAAAAATAATGGTAGTAAACATTTTAGAAACTTTGTGTTACATTTATTTTTACCACACGAAGCAAATCAAAGTCAACTCTACTTCTGCATCATTTTCTCTTTCTTTTGAACCATTTACAGTTGATCTAATTGTCTAGATTTCTCAAAATAATAAATAACCACTTCCAGAAACAATCAACTCAATACTTCTTTCTATCTTTTATCTGCCCTAGTAAACTCACGTTTCGTAGATTCAGGGCTTTCTGTGAATCCTTGGACGGATACTGAATTCTTCTCATCAAGCTGTGGTTTAGGAAGAGCTGTTAAACAGGAAGGATAATTTCGATGTCCGATGAATGTCAACTGGTTTGTTTCAATAATTGCATCGGAATACAAATGAGTACCAAGATTTGAGTAACTTAAAAGATTAGCCTTATCATTAGCTTGCTTGAGTGCTGCTGTTACTGATTTACATGCAGGACCTTCAGAAATAAGTAAATGCAAACACAAAAATAGTAGGCAAAATATTTGCTAATAATCTTAGACTACTTCAATTTATTAAGTAGTAATAAATGTAATTTAGATATATATGAACGTTTGTTAGATTTTAAACCAGTAGTTCGACAGAAATTGGGCACCGAGTATATAATGAAGACATAAAATGTAGAACTCATATTCTGGTGAACCAAGCAATTGAAATACGAATATTTGTAAAGTTTTCTAAACTTTTGATAACGTACAGATGTTCTATTAATTGTTAGGTTTTTTTAAATAAGTGAATTTATCAATTCATTCCAAACAGTTGACCATTTATTGCAAATTGTAGATTGTCCTCTATCTAGCCTTCTCTCACTAGCTAAATCTCTACCTTCTGGCCAGAATAACAAAATGTAGGATATTCTATTAATTCCAATATATGCTGACCCCTACAATCCATCCTTCCTAATATATGAAGCATTCATGCTTGCCAAGTTCCACGTTGTAATTACAAACAGTTTTTGGTTGGGATCGTGAATCAACCAACGTCAGACCATCATTGAAAGTCTGGAATCATCCTACAGTCGCTTTGTCCTAGTATGGAACTTGGCAGTGCGCATCCACGATTCCGCTCGCAGGATTCAAACCCGGGGTATTCGGTCTCACGTATAAGCGATTAACCCCTATACCACCGAACCAGCATCCGACAGTGCTAATGTCTAATTTCAACTAATTCACCAATTCAATTGTGCGACCATCTATTGTCTGAGGAAGATACCTGTCTCTACCTGACATGGATTAGCTCTAATGATCACGGCTTCTCAGTAGAACTCCGAGAATTCCCTCACGAAGCTAGTCACTAATGAGCACATGGTTTCCAACGATGGTCTAATATCAATCGATTCATGATCTCAATCAAAAACTTAATAATCTCCATAACCCCTAACTGATAGAAATAGTTTTTGTTAACTGATTGCAGTATTTGAAATAACGCTAATGGATAATTAAAATTATTTTCGGATTATTTAAATTTATGAAATTGAAAATTGGAATCATCAGTAGATCTGCTAAATATTTATCAATTCATTTATAACAAAATTGTTTTGAATTAATAATGGAGGAATATATTGAAATCCCACCTAGTTACTGGACGCACAATTTCATAGTATATACCATTTAAACGATTGCGAATTTGTCGATTAACCGACAACTAGTCTTATTTTGGGCGAACTCATTTACTAAGACATTCAGTTATAATTTTAAGCTAGTTTTGTTCACTCAATACAGATATCATTCAGGAAATCATTAAAAACCAAAGTGCATTGGATAATACTTATTCGTTTATTGATTGTGTAACATTTTGTTTAGGATTAGTTTTATTGTAATATTTTGTTTGTTTTATTTTAATGATACATTTCTTTATTGAATAATTAATGCAAGTGAATCAGTGTACTATTAAGAAATGAAAAAAAGTCTTCGATTTTGAATAGACAAATATATTATCATCTACCAGTAATGTTTGTCGTTCTGTTTGAGTCGAGTTATATCAACCTCAACCTTAGTCATATCATAGTATTTTGTTGTCACATTTAGATCATAGATATCACAGTACTGTCTAACATCCAACCCAGACAACTCCTAGGTTAGGTTTAATGAAGCTCCTGATATACAAACGTTAAAACCATTTTGTTTGTTTAAAAACAATTTGTTCTTACACTAAATCTACTCCATTAATATTGTTTTATTATCTACAGTAGTGTTATTCATATTGTTTTTCATGTCACTTTCCTTATTGTCCCTGTTATTCACTTATCTTCTTATTTGTCTAGTCGACCTTTGATTTTTCATATTTAAATGCCTTAGAAAGTTAATGTGTGATAAGACTCTCTGAAATATATTGCACTAACATATTATATAATTTTGATGAATTATCTTCTCATTACATTATTTGAATTTATGGAAACGCTTAAAAGTTCTAATGAGTTTTATTCAGAGTTGAATAGAATATGTTAAAAACTTGTTTATAAGAAAAGCGAAGGTGGATAGTGACTAGCAGTAGAAACCTATTTGAGATGCGTCAGCTGGATGTACTTGCATCTCAGAGCTGATGTTCACTCCGGGACTCGAACCTAGTACCGTTCGTTTCAAACGCCATCGCGTTATCCACTTAGTTACTGAGTGCTGATAGCCACCTGTTTGTGCAATAGGGTGAAGTTTTAAGTTTGCTTGGTATCGCTTACTTGTATTTTCCCATTGAATTAAAAAAATTGTTGTTTAAAATAATGATAATAAAACACGATGTGATTTCAAAAACTTTCTCACTTGGCGGCATTACTGGATATTTAATTCTCCCTAATAACATAGGTGAACTAAGCTGAAATTGATTTTCATAAAATGATTTTCGTTCGATCAGATTAACGGTTATCTCCTAGAATAAAATAAATATGAGTTGTTTTTTTCTTCTAAATTATCTAATTTATTAATAGTCGATTAATAAATAGTCTTATTCTAATACATTTTTTGGTAATAAACCCTAATATGCGCCAGAACATTGACAGTTACGAAATCTCTATTGATTATATGGATCTTGATGTTAGAATAAAAGATATCTAAATTTAGTCAGTCAATCAGCTACAACGTAGGACCAAGTACATATATGTATCGATTCAAGTTGCCATACCTCATCAGCACATCAGGATGAACACCGGATTCATAGAAGTAGTTATTTCAATGGTGATTATATATGAAAGAAAAATTGCATATAAAGATTTAGTACAGAAAGAAAGAATTAGTTCGTAGGAAGATATGAAGCGACTTTAATCTCATAGTTTAAAGGAAGACAGAGAGTGTATGCACCTGCACCATTGTGATCGATTCTGATCCATATCACTCAGAGTCTGCAACCATTGGTTACGATAGTCATGCGGACTCAAATCAAGAGCAGTGCATACATTTAGTTACCCTGATAAGTTTAAACACAATATAAACAATATGATTTACAAAGTTAAATTTAATTAATCATTATTAAACATACTTTTTGTCATATCTCAATGAGTAGAAAAATTGTATTTCTGATGCTTCGCAACTCAATGTAAGTTACTTCTTCATAGTAAATAAAAAACCGAATTTTGGGTATTTATTTACTCTGAAGAAGTGGCCTGCATTAAGTTACGAAACGTCAGAAATACAATTTTTCTACTCATTGGAATGTGACAAAAATATATTTATTACTAACTCTCTACATAATGCTCACTTTATTTGGAACTACCAAGTCCAAACATGGCATTGATGCTTATGAATTAATCATTTTCCTTGTTAAGTCCAAATGATAATAAATATATTATACGTATATATATATATGCGAACCAATCACGTATAAGATAACAGGTTTTGGATTTTCGCGCCAAATTCATTCATCCATTTGGATAAATAGAGTTTTGGCATTATAGCTGATGTCAGTTCGTGATGAAAACCCGAAATCTAATTCGTAAACTTGATTGTCAACTGTAAATTATAATTATAATTCCTCACACAGCTTTATAACCCTCATTTGATCGTAGTTATTAAGTGGACACTCTCAAGGTCAGTCTAGTGTCGCTCCAAGGTTGTCCATAAATTATAGTCTCACCAAACAATCTACTACTACAAATCATACACTATTCGATCGTAAAATAAATGATCATAATTCTTAATTAACAAACAATTACTCACCTCAGTTGAAGTTTCCACACTTGATGTGAATGTTCTTACATTTTGAAATTCTTGAACGACTGGTAAAATTTCTTTCATCCATGCATCTACTGGTAAACGATAAACTTCTAACCAAATTTTCGAATTAATTGAATCTGTCAAAATTTGATATACATACATGTATATATAATATTAATTAAATCTAAGTTTTATTTAATGGGTATATAATAATAATTCTTAAATGAATGAAATATTTTGTATTACAATTAATGAGTATCAGAAGGGGTTTTGTGGATATTATAGTAATTTAGTAGTTGAATTCGTGAATCACTTGAAACTATATCACTGTGGAAAACCTGGAAGAACTGGACGGCCGTTTCATCCTAGTATGGGACTCCTCAACAGTGCACATCCACGATCCCACCTCGCGGGATTCGAACCCAGAACCGCCTAACCTCTAAACCACTGAGCTGACCGACATCCAACGGTGTTAATGTCTAACTTCCAATAATTCACTAAATTGAGCGACACGTCTATCATTGTTTTCAGTGAGTTACTATCTCACAACAGACTCGGTTGAACCCCACCGGTCACGGCTCCTCACCAGACCTTCGGTAAATATCTCTTGAAGACCGTCACTAGTGAGTATATGTTGAATAATATCATGAGGGGTTCTGCGGATAATTTTAATAGTTGAGATCATGAGTCAATCTAAGCTATACCACCATGGAAAACCTGCAAGCACTGAAGTAAACAATCGGATAAATGTAAAACACTTATTTGGTTAATTTTTTTAAATAAAGCAATCGATTGTTATTATTATTCAAATGTTAATGGCAGTGGCTTTATAGTCTCAGATAGACAAAGTAAGATCCATCTTCGTGAATTATTGGTTGAAATTTAAACTTCATGGTTAATTAGGCTTAAGCTCAAGACACAAGTGAGAGAATTTCGACCAGGATTCAAACTCAGAACGTTCAAACCGTATAAAAATTTTAAAATAACGTAATTAGTATGCACTAACTCTACTATACATATAAAACAATTAATAAATTTATGATTGATCAACAACGTATGAAATTTTTATAGTAAAATCTTTTGGACTTATTGAAATGGAAGATTTATTGGAATACATCTTTCATTGAAACTCAGAAGTAATGCTTCAGAGTTATAATGGGTAGACGGATAGAGTTTAATGTGAATATTACCACTAGAATGAAGGTACATTGCGTTGATGAACCCAAGAAAGGTACAGACGAGCCTTCTGTATTTTACTGCTAACCACATTCCAAAGTTATCAAGCTTCTTACTTATTCATTTAAAGTTATCTGTTATCTGAGTATAACCGGATCTAGAATAGCAAATGTTCAAATGACCAGTCAAGTAAAAAAGCTCTAAAAAATTAACAAACATGGTTCTCTATATGAATGAACACTAAAATATTCATCAATTTTATTTCCAACATTGTGGTAAACAAGAACTCAGGTGGGGAATACCAATTTTTATTCAATGCAAAATTACACAGCGGCCTAGTAAAAAATATGAAAATCATACATTAAGTACATCATTTCCATATCTTTATTACGTTAGGCTCTACACACTTCACTATGCCTTTAATTCTGTTGTTATTTTGATTGTTCTGCGATTTCTTTTCTGCTCTCTTCAATTCAATCTTCTGCTGCCAGACATTTCACTCCCAATTGGTGCTACATAGTACTTATATCTGTCAGCTTAAGTAGCATTCACTACATCATATCATTAATGTGTGTTGTTTTAGTGATTTATTTCCATAATTTTAGTTAGAAGTTAATTTTCTAGATCGACACAATTTGAGTCATATGTTATGAATAGATTTACAACTAATATATATATATATTACCTTCATTTAAAGAGATAAAATATTTTCCGCACGGTGAAATCTTCCCATTGAGTGCATGATATAATAAACCATCGGATGGCGAGTTATATTGTTTTATTGGAATGAATAACCCTTCAACAAACATCACAAGACTTATTTGACCTGAATAAATGAGATTTTGAAAAATAAGCGATGAAGTTTTACAAAATCAAATAATAAAGTTATCAATAGTTATTTACGAAAGTGAGTTAAAAGAGATAAGTGGAAATTTAATTGATTTGCTGTGACTGATGTAATTTAAATATTTTTAAAGTGATCAGTAACATTAGATGGTTGGCGTGCAATTTGAATTGTACCACTGGACACTGACCTAGTGGTTAGCCATTCTGAATTCGAACTCTGAAGTGGTCATGGATGTGCACTCACATACTAAGAGGAAACAACTGTCCAGAGTTCCATCGTATTTACTTGTACCACAACTGTGGCTAATCTGTATTAAATACACTTTATAAATTATTTAATTAACCAATAATTTCAAACACTAACCATATACAACATTTTGTATTTAACTTTAGATATTAAACAAGGTTATCTGGTTATGTGAATCAAAGTAGAAGCAATATTTAGATCCACTAGTAAATGTTTAAAAGTTGAGTAACCTAAGCCTCCCATCATCTGTTCACTTTACCGTGACAATTACTACTAAAAATAAACACATGCTTTGAAGAAATCAACAATTTTTTTGGATAAAACACTCCAATTGTGGACAGAATGAAACTATTCCATTAAAGTAACAATTACTTAGACTCTAATAAATACTAGTTTACATATATGCCACATTAGGTTGATGAAATTTTTGCCATCCTCTTATTAATAGTTCATTTTAATTGCCAAACAACAAATGCGCATCTTTGCTGAAAATGTACAATAACAGTGATGACGTCATAAATTTTGTATGTTTACTCGTACAGTCATTGTACATCACCTTTCAAAAAATAAACACATAAAGGAATAACATATATTCAAATTCTTATTTCTGTCAGAATAAAATTTATTTGAAGGGTTGTACTATAAAATAACGCTGAAGTCGAAGAAGAATTATTCTCATTTAAACCCAATTCTAACTGAAAAGTTCTGTGGTCTATGTTCATTAAAGTATTCATCAAAAAAAAAGAAATAAATAAATAAAACAGATAATTATTTCCTCCTGATTGTGTTCTCTATTTAACTTCAGCAAATTTTATGAACTACTTTCATCTCAGACCAATCCCTCTAAAAATCCATAGAACAAGAAGGTACTATTTATCTGCAGATCACAAATATAAATTCTATTCCAAACAATTTTCATTGATTACTAACTATTTGTTGGTATAACTTGGAAACAAACTTCTGCGACTTATATAACCATTATTATCTTTTGTCACCATCAAAGTCTCCCTTACCGATCATCTCTGTTCACTAAAACAGATAAAGTGGATTTATGTAGATGCAATAGTGATTGTTCGTGATATTAATGCACTCTCTCTCAGCATCTTAACTGATGGTAGTGATCAGTGTTTCGCGTTGCTTAGATCTAAACTATGTTGAATCCATGTTGGTATTTTTACTACAGATAGAAAACTCTCCTTGTAATATTGCTCTTTAGAATCATCTTTCTAACTAGAATAAGATAGTTTCAATTACATTTTTGAGTTTAGAGTAGAACCAACTATCCAAAATATTACTATATAAAGGGCCAATAATATTTAGTGGATATTCAAAAAAATAGAAGGATCAACTTTCAAATAAATCACAGTACTTCAATCATTAGGGAATGATAGAAATCACGGTATTTTGACCAGTGATATGAATAGAGAACAATTTACAGGCAACAAAATACTTTTGAGATGGTATGTAATAATATCTCCCGGATAAGGAAATGTTTAGTCACTTGTAAGCAAGGAGGGATTTAGTAACATACGGTCATTAAACAGAAATATTTGTATAACACAATTAGTAACTATTCAGTCAAACCAATAAGTTAAAAACTTAACTAAGTTAAGGATCAAAAGTTTACCATTCAATTATAAATGTTTATCTTATCTGTAACAAAACCATTATATAATACTTATATTACCTGAGTCATTTATAATAAGCTGCAAAATAACATTTTTATCGTATTGAATTGTTTTAAATGTACGTATTACACTGCAACTGTTAAGTCCATTCAAATACTTCCACTCCGAAATCAATTTCAAATTGTTTACATCATATACAATAATTTGATTTTCAAATATTTTAAATAAATACTGTCCGACAATTGTAAATATGTGAATATTCTCAATGTCCTATTATTAGTAACTTGGTTAAGAACAAATTTCATTTCCAACCTACCATATTCACATCCAGTTTTTGTAAATATGATTGTTGGAAATTGAATTGCTCACTTTTATATTTCTCTTTTGTTTCAATTAAATTCCATGTTTCCTCAAATATGCTCCATAATAATTTGCCTAACATTTTAAATGGCATCGGTAAATCATCGAATGTTAATTCTGGATCAGTGTTGAGTGTATCTTGAAATGATGATGAATCCATTGGTGAAATTAAATGATTGAATGATTTAACTTCGGTTTTTATTTTCTAATTAAATAGAAAAATGTTAGGTAAATGATATGCATTTGTCAAGCTAAGAAACACTAAACTTCAAAATAAACTGGTATTAATCCATACATCAATTTATAAATATGAAATATTTATGTTGTCATATCATTTATAAATTACCATTATTTTCCGAAATAAGCTTGGTCTTTGCACTTCAGTTAGTAGTTGACTAAGTCCATATTGTTGAAAGTAATTAGATTTAACTGGCTACACCAAAGTGATCAGTGTTTAGCTAATCTATGCTTAATATTGAATTTTTAATATAAGTTTAATCGATTCGAATGTTTTTAATTTTAACTAGTCTCGTGTACCACTGAACAACTATTGTGAATCACGAGGTGGCTACTCTAAATTCTACCGATTGACCAGCTTCAGATATCCCAGTTCGACCCCAATACTGTTCCCAATCTCCAATATAACAGAACACGAACCGTAGATGAAAAATTGTTTATGGGGTCAGGAGCCGAATAATGATTTACAAACAAATGCATATTTATACAGTTAGGATTACTATAAATATTGATCAAGGGAAAGATAACACGTGAAATAATATTGACTAATGGGGAAATGACACGCGAAATAAATATTGACTAGTAGGGAAACGAACAATAGGGAAGTGACACCACTTAACGTTCAAGAGTAGCATTAAACTTAACCGGATAAGTTTTTGGGATATTTTCCTGAATATCCCAACAACAACTTAAGTATGTACAACTCCATATTTTAGGAAGTTAAAAAAACATTCGTTTAACTTCAATCTCTCTCAGGTGGAGTACTTAAAAAACTGACTAGAGAAGCTTTTATTTCTAAAAATAACAAATTTAGAGTACATGGTAAAGTGTCAGCTTCATCTTGGCAACCCACAGTTCACATGCGCTACTTTTATCAGCTTGCTTCTAGCCAGACAAGCAATTTCTCTTTTGTCTATTTTCCTCTTCGAACAAATATACTGGTTACCCACGACCGATATCCTCTTTTTCTTTATGAACTTTCGACTAGATCTTCATAAAATGTCATGTGAGTTATTTTAAGCTAGACATCGATGTCCTTATTTTCTACTGGAGCCGGGTATTTAAGGCCTTTTGTTTACTTTATATAATTATTTCTTACAACTATGTTGTGCCTTTTGACATTGAGTCGCTATAAATTGCTTTACATTCACAATTCGAATTATTTATTTAGGTTGGTATTATTTTTTAAGAGATATAGAACGCTATCGGGAAAACGTAACAAAGCAGGAAGCCCATGTTCTTATTCATCATTTATCTGCAAGTTTACGAAATGTATTGAAAGACGATCTAATTTTATCCTTATGGTGTTGTCTTTTAGGACAATGAATTCCATAAACACCCTTCATATTTTCCGTGACTCTATTTCCCAGAAAATGTATAAAAACTTACTGTGTCACATGTTAAACGGAGTGCTAAATTTATCTGTATGATAAGATGAAGCTATACAGACACCCATCTGATATTTCAGTTTAATATAATACATTCCATTTATTCACTCAGTTTAGTTGTATGTTTGATTAATGAAATGTACTTTCTTCTTCAGTTAAATCGTCTAATGTTCTTTCTCGATTTCAGCCACTACATTACTCAAATGCTGGTGACTTGATGTATAGGTCGCAGAAACCGTCAATACAATTCTTCTATCTAAATTTTGTTGAAAGCAGTGTTTGAAACTGAAAGCATGTATTGGAAAAATGTAAACTTCAGTATGATGTACTGAATACAAACTTATTTTCAGCATTAATCTTCAGAAGTAATACACTAAGGTACCAAACTTTCAAATTAATTCATTGTTGTGGATTGCAAATCATAGCAAGTGTTCTTTGAAATATGTCGGTTAGCGTATCCACTTAAATCTTCTATACCAATAAAAACGATTAGACATAAAGTCAGTAGAGACTCAAGTCATGACATTGTATTAGTTTTAGTCTACCAAAACCTTGAGTGTAGGTCATGCGAATCACACTTTGATGAGCGTCTAGCTTCGTTTGATAGGTACACGATTCACATTTGAAGTGACTTTATGGTACCTTGTACTGATTAAAAATATCTCCAAGTGTGATCATCGACGAACTAATTTTCTCAAGTCAACCATTTTCTTAGTCCTTACTCAGAACATAATTTTTAAAACATCGGCGCGTATTTTAACACTTCGAATCAGTTCTTGGTCCATTTCACAGCATCAGTCAAACATGCTATCATCCACACGTCCGGAAAGTGACCATCCAGTCGTCATTTTTAGATTCTCCTCCTTATTGGTCTGCCGAAGTGACAGGTCGACCTTTTTAAAGATTTAGAAATCTGCTCTAAAACTCCAGACGGAGCTTGAAGGCTCAGATTGCAAGGTCTACTCTTTATTGTCTGAACGTAAAGTATTATTACGTGGAATCTGCCGTGCCACTTTATAGCAGGAGCAGGGAATAACTAAGAATTGCAAGCTATTCAATCTTATATCAACACTGCTCAGCTGAGCTGAGATATAAGTAATACTTATAAATGTGGCACCAACTTCATGTACATAGAACACCCAGGTGGCATTACCGGTAAAATAATTAAAGCATTTCAGCAATTAATCATAAATTTGAGGTTAAATCAAATTAAGCTTTGAACACGTCCATCTACCAAATTTTGGTTGCAGATAAATGTTTGTAGTGCCTTTAGCATCAGATAAACATTTCGTAAGTATTAGCTGCATTGTGCATAACCAGCACATCCCACTGATGTCCTCACGGTTTTTTCTTGAATTTTCACTCTAGTCCATCCATGACTGCTGGAGTTCTTTTTAGACAGACGCAAAAATTTCAATATTTTCAGCCGCAATCTATACAAGTGCTAATTCCACAGCCTTAGAACAGTACGGGAGTAACGAATAACTCCTAAAAAGATAAAAGTGCTACGAAACATTCTCACTATTATAGCACTGATGAGATTCAAGAATGGAGACAATACGCCGGTTGCAACATCCTATCTGAAAGATAGTTTTGTCCTCCCAGAAAGATTTTAGAATAGTCCTAAATATGTGTTTATCTGATATGCTTAGAACATCACATGATAAATGATTATAAAATTCATATCTTTACACTGTATCACCACAAATTTAAAAACAATACAGTCATGATATACGAGACATTGATAAATGACGTCTAATTTGATATAACCTCTCTTAGTCTTCCAATAAGTTTGTGGCAAAAAACATAATACAGAGGGTAAGCTCACAATGCAAGAACGATCAATAATATTATGCAGTGTACGTGCTAGGGGAAACTAAAGTATAGAGATGAACCGATCAGATTTCAGATACAGCCTCTTGAATTCGTGAACGAAATTCATTCATCTATATGGCTAAGCAGGGTTATTGCGTTATAGCCTACATCACTCAGTAATGGAAACTTGGTACAAGTAAAATATATCAATCAGATTTCGGTCTAACATTCATTTCCGAAATGAAGCTGACATCAGTTCGTAACTAACACTCTAATAATTCGTATATAGATATTTATTATTTGCGTTGAACCTGTGTACCAATCAAAGTTGTATTATCTTCTCATCGTAATTCGTCTCATATACAAAAATTGTTTTCTATGTCATCCAAGCTTTTTACTTCCATCGACAACCCTAACCCTAATTTCTTGAGAAGTTTTGCAAAAATCTTTCAACAATTGTTGATTGCAGTTCCATTTCGGAATTTAAGTGACGAGAATAGTGCTCCTTATTAATCACCGAGGAACAGTTAACTTGTACGCTTTTATTGTTCCCGTTTTCCATATTGTTTTGAGTTTCTGTTAGACAAACACTTTTTGAACATACATCCACATTCTCAATTGGATCTAAGGAGTTGAAATAAATTAGACGTAGCAGATAAAATATTGTATGAATTAGTCTTTCTTTTGAAATAAGACAAATTCCTAATAAATATATAAATAGTTAAAAACCCTCGCATAGACTAAACCTATTCTGTTTTTTATACTGCGATTAAACATAATCATTTCTGTCGGATACAATGTTGATATTAGACTGATACCTAGATGTAAATAGTTTTGGAAACTTTAAGTGTAATTCATTTAAATGAATGTTTTTTCTCATACAAATCACTATTTAAATAATGCTGACTGCAGTGAAAATTTATTTGGCTTGTGGAATTAATGGAGAACCTTAGTAGACTATTCAGAGTTAACTTCGGATAAAAATATGCAAACCGGGCGTAAGCTAAATTTAAAACAATTAGTCCATTTGATAAATTTCGATAATGCAATAAGAAGACGTAGTTTATCAGAATTATGTGATATATTTGCTCAATACAGATTGTTCGAAATTTATTGAGCAAATATATCACATAATTCTGACAAACTACGTCTTCTTATTGCATAATTGTAAGCTAAATTGCTTGACATTTAGACTGTAGGTAAACCAATTAGTTTAAATGTATCGGATAAATAGACAATTTTGCGTCCAATTATGGGTAAAAAAAGACTCTTTGTTGTTCACTCAAGCGAAAGTTAGGGTATTGATTTTGAGACATTTCCCACAGGGGCTAGGAAAAACCCAACAACTGGATGCATTTTTGCCTAAGTTCGCATCAACCCTACTTGTGAAGTATCCACAGTATTTCTCCAAAGGTCGTCTTTACTTCCCCTATTTTGCTTTTTATTCTGACTCAACCCTAACTCTTAATCTTGATCCCTACAGCTAATTCTTAACCTTTATTTGATCCAGGCAAGTGGTCGAGAATTCATAACTTGCTTAAAGTCACTCAATGTTGTTCCATATAACGCAAGCTGCCAATTTTGGGGAAAATTTGACCCATTTCGGGGAAATTTGGGGGAAATGAGACTCAAACCCCAAAATTTCCCCAAAGCTGGCAGCTCGGGAAGGAACTAGAGTTAATTAACTCTAGTTCTACCCTTTTAATCTAATATCAGAAGAGATTATACATAACCTATATATGTTGTCCTTCTCCAATCTCCCTATTTTGGGGAACATTTGGTCCGGCTTAGGGAAAGTTTCAGAAGTAGCACAGAAATCGCAAATTTTTCCTATGTCTGGGGAAAATCCCCAAAATGTTTGGGGAAATTCTGAGTTTTCCATAAAATTTCCACAGAATTCTATAACACTTTGGGTTTTTTCTTCATAGTTTTAAGAAAACTGTCATATTTGGGGAAAATCCCTAATTTTCCACAAGATAGTGAGATTGAAATCTTATGAGTCTGCAGACCAACTCGAATAAGATAAAAGAAGGTACCTACGTGGACGTTTACCTTCCGTGCTTGAAACCACAATTAGGGTTTTCATCACGAACCGGTGTCGACTACACTAAAATATTATAGGGTCAAGTTCTCAATTTCACTATATATATATATATATATATATATATATATATATATATATATATATATATATATATATATAGTTTCACTATAGTGAGACTATTGTCTTGGATGATAACAAAAGTCAGTAGACTTCAGTTCACTTAATACTAAATAAGCACCGAAAAGTAAGAAACGACTTCTTATGGTGTTCATGTGACTGAAAATTTGTTATTTGGAAAGCTGCCTCACCATCTCCATTTAATGCGAAATTCATGCTCTATACATTGGTTACCATAATGTACAATGACCTAATTATTTGGATAAGAAAAACAAACCGATACACGACGTCGAGTTGTACACAATACTGAAATTCGTTTTTATTCCTTCCTCTGGTT